GGGAAGGAGAGACAGCGGAAGCAGCTGAGTCTTGCTCAAGGGACAGGGACAACTTCTGCAGAGCTGCGTCCACACAAAAGCCTGTCCGGGAAGTTTGGGTTGATCCAGAAAGGCTTTTTAGAAACACTGAGCTTGAAAGCAGATGTAGAGACGAGGCAGCTGGATCAGACACTTAGGACTCAGGGCAGGCCTGGGAACTTCCAAGAAGTGTGGCTGCGGGGACAGTCTGAAGATGTGTGTGCGTGTGTTTTCTGCCTCTTGCTGTATCACTTATGGGCCTGCCTCCTGTCCCTTGCCCGCCCCGCTGGTCTCAGACATCTCTCTGGCTTATTTCCCTCCCGTGACGGGGTTGAGCTCTATGTTCTGGAGCTGAATCCAGCCTCCAGCCCCGACCCGGCTCCGCTGCTTCTCCCAGGCTGCCCCGGTCTCTGTGCTCCCTCGGAAGGTGTGGAGCCGCTCGGGGTGGCTGTTAACGCCTTGCACCCCTAACTCATTCTTCTCTCTTTGTTCCGCTGCTGCTGCCTCTTGACTTGCCTGTCCTCTCAGTGCATGATGGGAAAGGTATTAGGTTTACTGCTAATGAGGACATTCGACCAGAGAAGGGTATGTTATGCCTCGTGTAGACGTGAGTCTAACATGGGCTAGTCTAACGGGTGAACACTGACTCCCATCAACTAGAATAAGCTTTTTATGTTAGGGGCAGGGGCGGGAAACCAGTGTCAGTGTTCAAAAGCTCTATGCCGGCTTTAAGAGACGGGAGATGTTTTCTTACAGCCCATGAGGGATAACAGTAGTTCTGCCCTCAGACTCTGTTCCCCCAGACCCTCTCCCTCTGCCCAAAGAAGAATTTTATGGGGTGCTGCTGTTGTTATGTGTCATTGAGTCAGACCCAACTCATAGCAACCCCTCCTTGGGTTTCCGAGGCAGTATCACTAGGGAAGTGGATTGCCCAACCTTCCTTCCGAGGAGTGGCTGGTAGGTTTGAACCGCCAGCATTCTGGTTAGCAGTAAACTGCCTTAGGCACTGTGCTACCAGAGCTCCCTTTATGGTGTGCAGGGTAAAGTTATTTTCCAAGAACAGAGGGGGCCTTGCTGAAGGTTGCCTGCATAGTAGCTCCTTCGAAGGCTGGGGAGGTGTCCGGTAGAGACCAGGTAGGAGTGAGCAGGGCAGCCTTCCTAGCAGGGGCCCCCGAAATCCTGCAGGCAGGCAGGCAGCTGCCTTCAGCTGGAAGGGAACCACATTGTCACTCCCTATGGAGGACACAGTTCCCAGCCAGAACTACAGGTGACATTACTGCCCTTCTGACCGTCTTTCCACGAAGAATTCTTCAGCCTAGGAAATAGGAAAGATCGGGGGTCCTGAGAGGTTCCGCTTAAGATGCCCCAGCCTAACTTCCCGATCATATATGACCTTACTCTCCCCCTCCCGTTGCTTTCCCTCCCCCATTGCCCACCTCCCTGTGGTTTCACTAGGCCGTTGCTTCTTTCTTTAGGGTACAGGGTGGTCAGCCTCCTGAGTCCTCAGTTTTGCTTGCCGTAATTAGGCCTGAAGTCTTAGAGTTCCTAATGGGGGACTCACGTGTCCTGTTGCCTCTCAGGGTCTGGCGTGGATGATCCTGTGGGGGAGGTCTCTATTCAGGTGGACCTGTTCACACACCCTGGTACTGGGGAGCACAAGGTCACGGTGAAAGGTGAGTGGAGCTGCAGGTCTCTGACACCTGTCTGCCCAGTGGCTCTCTCTGCCAGGGCAGGGGCTGCTAATCCCAGCCCTCCAGCTCAGCCTGCCTCCAAACGGAACACCCCCTGTGGTTCAAGACCCGGGACAGCCCGGCAGGACCCCTCACAGGTCTCCTTCATTTGGCAGTGGTGGCTGCTAATGACCTGAAGTGGCAGACAACAAGTATGTTCCGGCCCTTTGTGGAAGTGACCATGGTTGGCCCACACCAAAGTGACAAGAAGAGGAAGTTCACAACCAAGTCCAAAAGCAACAACTGGACCCCCAAGTACAATGAGACGTTTCACTTGTAAGTTATGTGCTGGAAGACCTGGCGGACTGGGATGGGGGCAACCTGGGAGAGGACCTGAGAAGAGGTCTGGGCTGGACTGTAG